ACTGGGAGTCTGTGTTCAGCTTTTGCCAGTTCAGACAGTGTGGGAAAGGCCCTTGTCATCAGTGTGAGTTTATGCCCAGCTTTTCCCCCTGGGACAGAACCTATGGAAATATAAACCAGAAGGTTGTTTTGACAATAGCTAGTTCCTCTTAGTCAGGTGTGATGCAGTCAGTAGTGGGGTCTCAAATCTTGGTGGGTGGGTGACCTTAGACCAGTGGTTCTCAATTTTCCTAATGCTGTGACCCTTTAAAACAGTTCCTCATGTTGTGGTGACCCCCAAAACTAAAATTATTTTTGTTGCTACTTCATAACTGTGATTTTGCTACTGTTATGAAATGTAATATAAATATCTGATTTGTAGAATTGATATGTAACTCAATGTGCACACAAGGGTCATTCAACACCCCCCCAAAGGTCACAACCCACAGGTTGATAACGCTTACCTTAGATAACTCACAGCACCCTATTTGTTCAGGCATTCAACATACAGGCATGTAACAAACCCATTGCCAGAAATGAGATCTAGAGACAAACTTATTTAAGGTTCATATTTTAAAGTCTTGATTCCCCACAAATGAGCTATGGAGAGGCAGTGGGACCCTTAGCTAATGACAAGAAGGTCTTCGAGTCATTGAGGATGTCCCCTTGAAGGGACTAGTGGAACACCTTTTCTTTATCATTTTTCCTTCTCAACCATGAGGAAAGCACTCTGCATCCTCCTAGAGTGCTAGTAGATGCCTGTAGACAATGGCTGGATAATGGGAGTCCACGATGAAGTCAGTTACCACAGGTATCTGAGTGACAGACAGCTGACTTAACACTGAAGAACTGAGTAGTCAAACAGTTACCAAGAGGTCACAATTGAGCTGAAAACATTGCTGATAGGAAGCCGCTAGCTGCAACAATGTCTAGAACAGGAGCCTTTGAGACAGAGAGAGTGTCTAGTGCAGGGTTCTGTCGTGGGGTTGAGAGTTACACACACACACACACACACACACACACACACACACACTCTCTCTCTCTCTCTCTCTCTCTCTCTCTCTCTCTCTCTCTCTCTCTCTCTCTCTCTCTCTCGTTCACAAGGGAGCCTGCCTCCATACTGGATACTGTGCATACTAGAAACAGACATTAAGACTCCTGGGCCAGAGCAAAGACTTTATTTTTCACAGCAGCGTGTGAGTGACCTTGCTTCTTCACACTTCTTTGCCATGAACAACATTTGGAGGTAGAAGCAGTAAGGTTTACTAATGGGTTTGGATGTTGAGGGGTGAGAGAATGATTGGAATTCAAGACGCTTTCTAAACTGGGACACCAAGAAAAGGAGTGTGAACCGATAGTCCGGGGAAGGGAGGAGGACTTACAAGTACTACTTTGAACAAGGGAAACTGATGACTGAAAGATGTCTAGGGGAAGGGGTGTGGAAAGCAGTCTGCTATGAGAGTGTGGGGTCTAGGAGCAAGGTCCAAGGCTTGAGGTACACTAGGTAAACATGCCTGTGGCTTATGCATGGTCTAGACCATCCGAGGACAGGTGTGTCCACTAGAGATTGTTGTCCATGTTTTCCTCCTTGCCTGGATATCAGAATCCCTTGCAGCTACTGTTAAATACAGGTCCCTATTCCTAGATCCCTTTTGTCTGTTTCATTTGAAATTTTGTGATCCAATAGATAGGAAGATGGATAATAGACTGATTTTTCTGCATACATTCAGTGTGCACACGGTGTTTTTGAAAACTTATCATGCTGCCAGAATTGAGCTTGGTTATGATGGTTGAGGCCATGGCAGTCTCTGTGGTTATCAGACAAGGGAAAGAGAACCTCCAAAGGCTATTCCTGGTAGATTTGGTTCTGAATGTCTTCCTCCAAGCACGATGAGGGAAAAGGGATCCCCTGCTTGTGTAAGCCACTGAAGTTGGATTGTTGGTTACTTTTTGACCACGCTTTAGCCTTAAACAACCCCTAACTATACTTAGTTAATCATGCTGGGAGACAAGGCATGATGCGAAGTGTATAGAGGCGAGGCTATACCCCTGTGAAATGAATAATGCTAAGTATAAAAAGGGTTTTGAGACTCCCATCTGCGATGTCTTAGCTATGTCACTACACACAAAATCTCCCACAAAACACGCCTGGCCTGCAGAAATTTGAGTCAAAGAAACTTTTCTTGTTTATAGATGACCCCATCTTTGATATTTTGTTATAGCAGCACAATATAAATTAAAATCGATACACATATTATTAATATATATAGATTTTAAATAAAATTAATCTCCTTCAGGAAGAGTAACTTAGGTAAACACTTCACTAACTCAAACTGGACAAGAAAATTTTTGTTAAGTCTTGAGTCTCCTAAAAATTTTCAACTCCAGGGGTCAAAACAAGGCTGGTGAAAGCCACAGAAACAGCTGACCTGAACAATGAGGAGCTTACAGACCCCAAACAGATAGCTGGGAAGCCAGCATAGGACTGACCTAGACCCCCCTGAACATGAGTGTCAGTGAGGAGGCCTCGGCAATCTATGGGGCCTCTGGTAGTGGATCAGCCCGTTCCACATAGAGGGATATTTCCTCAGTCTAGACACATGGAGGAGGGTCTAGGCCCTGCTCCAAATGATATGACAGACTTTGAAGATCCCCCATGGAAGGCCTCACCCTCCTTGGGGAGCAGAAAGGGGATGGGATAGGGAATTAGCGGGGGCAGGGGAGGAGGGGAAGGAGAGAGAACTGGGATTGACATGTAAAAAAAGCTTGTTTCTAATTTAAATAAAAAATAGAAAGAAATGTTCAACTCCTTAGGGCTAGAGACATGGCTCAGCAATTAAAAGTACTTGTTGCTTTCCCAGAGAAGCCAAGGTCCCAGCACTCATGTCAGGTGGCTCACAACTACCTGTAACTCCAGCTCCTGGGGCCAAATGACCTCTACTGAACTCTGAAGCTACCAATATTTACACACACACAGACACACATAGACACACACAGACAGACACACACACACATACATACACACTCACATACACATACACCACCAAACAAAATAAAATCGTTTTCCAATTTCCCAACTCTTTGTATTACTGCATTATATTTGAATTTTTAGCATTTCAAATAATTAGCATGATAGCTTACATCTAATTCTGCCATTCTCATGTACTTTTTAATTTATTTTTGGGAGGGTGTCTCACTGTTGCCTAGATTGGCCTCAAACCTAAGGATCCTCCTGCCTCAGCCTGTTTAGTAGCTGGGATTACAGGTGTGTACTGCCATGCCTTGGAATGGTCGTCTCCCTAAACATCTCTGCTAATTCTGATAAAGTTATAAAGCATCCGTTCAAATAGTGTTGATGACCCATGTCAGGTTTCCTTATACCTCTCTGTCAAAGCCACAACCCAACCAAAACCACCACCACCACTGCTGCCCACCACTACCGCAACAGCCTCCAGCCTCATGTTCCAGACTGGAAGTTCTGCATGACCTCAGAGGCTCCAGCTCTCTGCAGACGCTGCTCAGATATTTCCAGGTCGCTCTAACGACGCTCCAAAGCCGCTGCATTTGATGCTGAGCCACAGTTCTCAGGTCATGTGACTTTTTAGAAACTCCTCAGAGTGGGGTTATGGCGTTTCACATTCCGTCAGCTCCACTCTGTTTAACTTGGCCGCACTGCCGCTTGGACGCTGTCCCCTCTTGAGTCTCCCTAGCACGTTCTGCACGTGAGCTGAGGCCACCCAGAAGATGTCAGCTGCTCTCTCCACTCTGCTTTGCTTTAGTGGGGGAGGGGGAGGTCCCATGGGGGCAGAGCTGGTGCCACTTTGTTCTAATCTCTCACCTTTTGTACTTCTGTGCAGATTGGTAATGTTGTATTTCATAACTGTATTTCACCCCAAATAATAATGTGTGCTGTGTAGGTGGCTGGAAAATTGCCATTATGTTTCTTGTCTCTCTCAGGCAAAATATCCACTGATAACCATATTTCTTCCAGTTAGAAGTATTCCTTGAAAAATTTAAAATGTTTTAAAAATAGCTCATCTATTTGAATGCTCTTCAAAAACTCAAATCTTCACAGACATCAGTTGGTGAACCATCTTTCTGGTGAATAACCAGAAAGTCATGTGACTTGAGGTGAGGTACACATTGGTATTTGGGCATGTGCAATATCCATCTCTCCCAACTTCACTCATCAGAGAAAACACTTTCCCTTCCAAAAGGAGCAACTAAGAAACAGGAAAGTGACTGTCCGCAGTGCTTCTGAGATGGAAATTTAACCAGAACAATGTATATGTTCTACCTATCTTTGGAAGAGAACAGCAAGGCTTGCTCTACCCCACTCCTCCCATAAGTACCACAAGCTCCTTCTTGTCTTTGCAATAAGATGTATGTGTGGTGCTTGGTCCCTGTGTACTTTGTCATGTGTCACGCATGTGCTATCTATCAACACCAAAACCACAGAGCTCCCTTGCTAGTAACCATCACCACCACCACCACCACCACCACCACCACAACCACCACTATCCACTACCATCACCACCATCACCACCACCACTATCCACTACTACCATCATGGCCATCACCACCACTACCCACCACCACCACTATTACAATGTCCCAAATTCCCCAAAAGACATCTGCCAAAGCCCTTTCCAAAGCTATATCTTTGTGCTTTTGTTGAACACGAGAAACCAGGATCATGTATCTTTAGGGACAAGAATAGGAGAATGACCAGCTAGCTCCCCGTGATGCTGTTTGCTTGAGGACTCCCTCATTCCACTCCTGTGGAACCTTGGCTTTCCTTCATCTTCTCTGGTGGCTTTATACTTGTTCAGTCACACTGAGGACTCTGTTCCTTCCTCATCTCATGCCCAGCTCCCCTGAGTGGGGGCCGGGAGGGATCCTACAAAGGGGACAAAGTCCTTTTTGCACCTCAGTTCTGCTCAGTAGATGAAAATAGCACCAAAGAAAATGTTAAGCTCCATTTCCAGACCTTAGAAAAAAGGTGGTGTGTGTGCTTATTTATACAGTGACAACAAAGTATGTTTATTAATCTATACTTGGAACTCAGAGAAACTTTGTCCAGTACAACCAACAATAAGATGGACATCAATTGGTTCCCATCCCCATCCACGAGACTCTATTAAAGTCACCATAGCATTGAAAGAAACCTCATTTCAGTAAAGCCCCGGGGACACTTACTTGTCACAAGTGAGGGGAGGGAAAGTACAGGCAGAGAAAACTGAGGGTGTGTGTAGATGTCGGGAACTTGTCGCTATATCAAAGGACCGCAAGGCTGCAGGTGTTGGTTCCTTTAGTCTAATTCTATTTCAGAGCACAGAAAGGCCATCCTTCTCCCCAGCTTTCTCTCATTAATGATCCAGCTGAGCTACACAGAAGAAAAGGAGAAACAGCAGGGGAAAAGGACAAAAAGAAGAGGAAAGTGGGGAGGAGGAGGAAGATGTCGTGGCAGTGACAGAGGTAAGCAGACTAGCTGGATGGAGAACTGCCCAAACAACAACAATAAAGACAAGTACACCAGGCCCCTGGGAGGGCCGAGGGGTGGTGGGGATGGGTGACTGAGCAGGTCTGGTAGGTCCAGCTGGACACCAGTGGCCAGGGAAGTCCCAAAGAGTATTGCTGTTACCTGAAGAACAGGTGAGTGTTCTTCATAAGAACATGCAGGAAGGAGATGCTGTGTGTGGTCAACGGTGTCTCTGGAAAGCTGAGATTGCTTTATGGTGGTTGCCAACTCCTTTACCATGGGCAATTTTAAGCCACAACTGGTTAAATAATTTGTTTCATAATCCAAGAATATTTAACCACCAGGTGTGCTATATAAGCCATGCAGTTCATCATGTTCAGATAACTGTCAGATAGATCGTGGCTTGTAGACATGACCCCCCTGGTTCCGTGAGTACCATAATTTAGTGACTTTAATGGTTATTCATTCAAGATTGGATTTCCAGGAAGTTTAATGGTAGAACAGGTCTCAATAGCACATTCATAGTCCCGAAGCCACCAGGAAGCAGAGGGTCAGAAGACCGCTTGATCAGTTAACATTTAAATTAGAAATCATTGTGGAGGTAGCTCTTCAAGCTATAGTAAACTTTCAAATGTGACTTCAGTATATGAATTTTTAAAATAAATGAAAAAGATCACCTATGTTTTTGTAGAGGAGTACATGCCTTTTGACCTCTTGCTTCATATGTCCACTAAAACGCTTCATCCAAAACAATACTTACTGGACAGAAAGTTCTAGAGTGTAGGAAGATATCATGACCTAAGAAGTGCCTTCCCTGTGCACCTATCTGCAGAGGAGGCCTGACTCAGAGAGCAAGAGGAGCCAGCAGACCCCGTGGGGAGAAGCAAGTGTCCTTCCAGCACAAGCTGGCTCCCTATACTGTCACCATGATCTGGTCCAGAGCTTTCCGCTTGAGGTCAGGCACTGTGGCCTCTCTGCTTGGGTAGCCCACCGGGAGCAGCATCAGCAGCTTTTCATGTGAGGGGCGTCCCAGGAGCAGCCTCAGGCGAGAACCACAGTTGAGGGGCGTGGTGGTGACCGTCACTAGCCCTGCATTCTGAAACAAGAGAGAGCAAACGAGCATTTTCATGTCAGGTGAAGCCACAGCTCTTTCTCCAGCCCTGGGCCACTCTCATCTTCTCCACTACTCCCGTTCATCTGACTTCTTGCTGAAGCTGGGTGGCAACAAGGCTCGGGTAGGGCATCGTGAACCCTGCCTGTGCTTTTCCACCCGCTGCCTCTTCAGACAAGCATCAGGAAACATCTGGAAGAAAACCATCTTGTTTTCCAGTGATGCCTGAGCAATAGGAACGGCTGTGTTTTATGGAAATAACTTTGGAGAATATGACTGTCCTGAAAGCATGACAAGGATAAGAGTAGGATCTAGTCTGCACCGTGTATCCAACCATAACAGCAACAGCAGCCTGACAACGCTGTCCACAGCCTGGTCCACTATAAGTTTCCTGATAGATGTTCTTTCCAGAATCCCAGTTACCCAGCTGACTATGACTCTTTATTAATAGTCATAGTAGTAACATCCACACCCATGTATTTACAGGGGTCTGGAGTGAATTGCTATGGGCTCTCCTGAGGTTGAACACACATTGTCCCATACCTTCATCCATTAAAAAGCATATAGTGTCTTAGGAGATCACCATTAGTGAAGTACTTGCCTTGCAAGCCTGAGGACCTGGGTTCAACCTCACAGAGTTCATAAAATAATAAAAGCCAAGCCATGATGGCAGGTGCTGGGGAATAGAGACAGACATCTGTACAAACACACAGTGCCCTCTAGGCCCCTCCCCGGCTGCTCCCCCTCCTACCCATGCTTCCCCAGTCACCTGGCCGGCCACCTTGAAGCCTGAGCCAGGAGCTGCCTCTGACTTCATGTGTGGCCATGCCAGCCCACTGAGTTGCCAGGCTGGCGACCAGGTTCCAGGAACATTTTCTCTATTCCCTCAGTGGTAAACTACCTTAGAATTCTGGGAAACTAGGAAGCAACAAGCTCAGCAGGAAAGCTAGTCTGGCCAACCCCTTTCAGAGACCAAGGGCACTGTAGGAAAGAGGCTAGCACCAGGCTCACCCTGCTTCTCCCAGTGCCTAAAGCAACGACAGTGCCCTACGGCCTGACACTGTCCCAAGACACCTTCATTTAGCTGCCTACAGCGTCTGGAGGGAAAGCAAAAGCCAGGCTCTTCAGGGTGGTTTTAGAAGCAGCAACAGCCGAATGTAAGGAGTTAGACACAAGCTATGTCTTTCTCAGAGGTGACGAGGAACCTTGTCTATATGAAATTGACCCTTCCTTCAAAGCAGGACCACTCTGTCTTAAAATACTGTTTGCTGCGTTAATTTGTATGTTTAGCATCTCTCCCTCGTCCCTCACCTGAGTCTCCCTCAAGTGAACTGTTCAGGAGCGATCTAATCCCAGTGTCTCCCACAGATGTCACAGGGTTTGAGATGCAGAACTCGGCCCTGCTCCATTTCACATCTGCCTTGCCCTTGTGCCTCTGTGGAAAAGAAGTTTGTAGGCATGCAGCCATCTTTCTGAGGCATCATAGCACAGTGAACCTCTCAAGGCAGGTGCTGCTGGCTGCTTAGTCACTGCCTGGAAGGGGGCAGTATGCGTATGAGGGATGTGTGTCTCTGAGCTTTCCAGCTCTGGCTTTCCTTTCTTATGACTTCTCAATCCCCCAATCTATATGCTATTCATGGAAGATGCAGCATTTCTGACCCTAAGAGACGACAAGTGAATTTCCAGGGAGACTTTAAGCTTGCAGATACCTACCAATCCAGGTTTCCAGGGTTTGTTGCCAGTTACCTTTCCTAGGAACTCAGCTTTAAGTAAACAATTCCCAGATGACTTCTAGTTGGAACCTGGACTGAAACAATTATTCTCAACCTGTGGGTTGTGACCCTCCCCGCCGAAAGACCATTGGAAAACACAGATATTTGTGTTATGATTCATAACAGTAGCAAATTACAGATATGAAGTGCCAACAGAAGTAACTTTACGGTTGGGTTCACCACAACGTGAGGAACTGTGTTAAAAGGGTTGCAGTATTGGGAAGACTGAAGACCACTGTGTTAAAGCCGCTTGGGTCCCGTGTCTTGTCTCCCTTGGGCCTGTGGGAGGGCGACATACCTGCAGGGCAGCCAGCAGGATGCCACAGGCAATGGACACGCTGATCTCGTTGTAGTAGTGGACTTTTTTCTTTCCATTTGCAGCAAAACCGTGGACTTGTTTGAAAATGAGAATCAGAACGGGGGCTGTGTCCAGGTACTCCTTAATCCAATTGGTTCTGGAGGGGTGGATGGGGTAGAGAGAATAGTCAGGAAAATGTTTACTCTGAACTTTTTGGGTTTTCATTCCATTTTTAAAAATTAAAAACTACCTACAATTTTTTTCTGAGATAGGGTTTCTCTGTGTAACAGCTCTGACTGCCCTAGAAGTAGTTCTGTAGGTCAAGCTGGCCTCAGACTCACAGAGATCCACCTGCCTCTGCTTCCTGAGTGCTGGGATTAAAGGTATGTGCTACCATGGCCTGGCCTGCAATTCTTAAATACACATTTACTTGTCTTTTCTATTTAAACTGAAAAAGACTGGATTTAAAATTTTTTTTGCCACATTCATCTTTTTTCTGTAAGGTTAACGAAGTTGATAAGCATATGTTAGTGTGTGGCCAGCTTGGCAAAGCATGCAAAATGTTGAAGGAGACGAAGATCCCACAGCCTTAGATCACCAAGCTGTTACTCTGCAAAGTGAAGCCAGCTGGGTGCTACTAAAACCTTAGATAACTCGGAAAGCAAAGTGTCGATTTGGGAAAGAACATAGGAAGCCACAAAAATAAACCTCGGTTGTTAATGACGATGAAGAAGGAGAGTTGGAGAAAGTGCCCCAGGCGGACTGGATGGATGAGTACAGCCAGTAAAGAAAGAGGATGTGTGGTAGGCCAGGAAGCTTCCTGGAGCCTTGGGTTGGAGGGCCTGCCGGGACATGGGTGGACTGATAGGTACGTGCAGATTTTGCAGGGTCCTGACACTCACTTGGTAGGTGATGAGAGGGTTTGCCCTGTGCTGCTGAGCAAAAGTGTCATGTGATCGTGTCACGTGATCAGATCCACTCGAGAAACGTGGGTTGTGTGAGTGAGAGTGGTATCCCCAAGGGTGATATTTCGAGTGTCAACTATGAAGTCAGCGTAGAGAGAGGGGAGCCATGTGCTTGGCCACGGCCACGGCCCAGGCAGGAGGGTAATGAAAGCTGGGGAGAACCGGACAAGAAGGTAGGGGTTACTAACAGAACAAGGAAAGGAGCGCGTGGAGGAGACAGCAGTGGTGGCCACGGGAACGAGCAGATGACAGACCAGGGAGGACCCTCCCCGTGGGAAGAGGCGGAGGCTCCTGGGGGAGCCAGTGGCCATCCATGTGGGCATCAGTGATAACCTGAAAATTTTGTTCTCCAACTCCAAATGTATCTCCCTTGATTCCATTACCCTGTCCTCACCTCTATGCTGAAATTTCATTCTAGAACAGATGCTGAAAAGAGAGCTGTAGGTCTGAAAGCAGCGTCTGTTCCAAACTGCTTCCTTTTCCACACGTAACTAATTATCAGGAGGTGGTCACAGTTCAGTTAGTGGTTTAGCCTAGTTACACTTCACCATTTATTAACACAGAGAAACGTACAGGTCCTCTGCTGATCTCAAGCCATAGCTTCCAAGGATTTTCTCTCCCATTCATCCACCTTAGCCCTGGTGGTTAGCACTTTGCCCTCCTCGCAGAGAGGGAGAACGTTAATCATTCAGATCAACTCTGGAGCAGAGTAGCTGGCTACCTTCTCCCTGCCTTGTCTGTAAAACCTGCTCATCGGTTCCCATCTCGCATGGCCATCGCAAGGGTGAAGTAAGTTAGCATGGAAATGACTTTTACTAAAACAAGCATCCCACTCGGAAGTCACAGAAATGCTGATAGAAGAAGATTCTGTTTAATCACTGTCTGCACTCACTGCATTTCTAGCATTCAGTAGTCACTGACAACACACACTGCCTTCAGGCCATGGCCAGGCCCAGCGACTGTAAAATCTCTACTGCGCATGAGTGAGCTGAAGGCTGCCAAGTGGCCTGGCTGCATTCTGCTACGTAATTGTATTATGTTTTTGACAGTTTCATGATTTGAGATTATGATCATGTTCATAATGATCAAAATTAGTTTAAAAATATTTACCTATTTTTATTCTATGGGTATGAGTGTTTTGAAAGGATATATATCATGTGCACACCTGGTGCCCAGAGAAGCCAAAAGAGGACACTGGATCCCCCAGGACCAGAGTTACAGACCACTGAGAGCTGTCGTGTGGGTGCTGGGAGCCAAACTCAGGAAATCCGTAAGAGCAGCGACTGCTCTTAACCACCTAGTCCTTTCTCCAGACCTGACTAAACTATGAAAGTGTATAAAATAGGTATACAGCAGAGGTAAATGATACAAAATTTTAAAAGATTTGAGGAAGATTAAGCAGCATGGTTACATTTAAGGCAAGTTGATCACTCAAAAATATTTTTGTATTTAGTATACCATTTCTTCCCAGGAATACACTGTAAGAATTATAGTTTCATTGGTAATGCCTCACACTTATCTGAGAACATGGTGTAAAGGCATGCACTCCATACATAATATATCAGTTCCGACACTGAATAAGCATCTTAGAGAAAATCGTCCTCTCTCAGTAATAGCGGGGCCAAGAGATTCATGTCGCCTTGCTCTTGCTCTCATTCCTGGGCCAGAAGTCTCACCTCATCTCCAAGCTTGAGGCTCACCATTCTTCTTAGTCACCTGTCGCTGTGGGGTGTCAGGCGGCAGGTGATAGAACTTGGGGAGATGGTGGATTAGTCCTCTCTGCACTCCCAGAGCTGAGACTAGAGTTTGCCTTCCTTAGGACCTTCTGAGAGGTGAGAGCCAAACCCCACCCGCCTTGGCCCCCATCACCCTGATTTCCACTCCGTTTTCTTTTTCAGGGAAGATTCCCCCAGTCCTAACTTCTATGTGATTGCACAGATCTACTAAGCTTGCCTTTAATTCAAACAAAGCACACTTTTCTCCATTCACGAGCTTGAAAAGCATGTCACAGTCTTATGTTCCAGACTGGTGGAAAGTGAAGTAATTCTTCAGTTTTCGATAAGAAGAGATTGTCTCTGGGCTAGAGAGACGACTGGGAAGTTAAGAGCTCTTTCTGCTACTCTAGGGGACCTAAGTTCAGGTTACAGTTGACCCCATGAGGCAGCTCTTAAGCGCCTGTAACTCCAGCTCCAGGGGATCTGATAGCTCTGACTGCTACGGGAATATACATACCCCCCACATATGCACATACACGTGCATAATCACAGCTTAAAATATAAAATCAAACTTCAAACGTTTTAAAGCTAATTAAGAGAAACAATTATTTGGGTCACAGATTTTGCAGAGACCAGGTCTGACTTTTTCCAACCACTTTAAAATAAAGTGAAGAAACAAAACACAACAGAAACATGGTGAGACTTGATCCACACAGCCTGCAGGAATCTACTCAAATACCACACGGAGCCATATTAATATGAAGTCAATACAGCACCAAAATAAGAAAATTAATCAAAACAATTTTAAATCCCACAGACCCAGGGCCTGCAGGGGGTAATTTCGTACTTTAATGGTCAAACCAAGCATTCCAATTCCATCAGCCCTGTACCTCAGTTTCTTCAGGTCTGTGACCCATCGGTCTCCCATCCTCCTCTTGTAATTTATCTCTTCCTCCTCCTCGATGATCTCTCGGATCTTATGCTTCACGTCTGGGTCCTTCACCACCACGAAGGTCCAGGGCTCAGTGTGGGCCCCACTTGGAGCTGTTCCTATTGCCCATTAAAGTAAAATCAGGGTAAGACTGAAGACAATCGGAAAACTGTTCATTAAGAGGAAATACAATACCAGGGATTGTGGTGGTATGTGCACCCGTAATCCCATCCAGCGCTTGGGAGACTGAGGCAGGAGGATCACATGTTCAGCTAAGACCTTGTGTCAAAAAGAACAGTGATTCTCAACCTGTGGGTGGAGACCCTCACAGGGGTCACACATCAGATATTTACATTACAATTCATGGCAGTAGCAAACCTGCACTTCTGAAATAGCAATGAAATAATTTTATGGTTGGGGGTCACTACAACATGCGGAACTGTATTGAAAGGTCGCAGCACGAAGAAGGTTTAGAACCACTGCCATGGGAGGGGGAACAGGCAGAGGAAGAGGAGGAAGAAGAGAACTTTACCTTAATTTAAACACACACGGTGGGGATTAGTGATTGTTGTGCCTTAGATAAAGGATACAACTATCTAAGGCATTTGTGTTCTTGGCTGAGGTAAAATATTCTCAATGCCTTCTGGATTAGAGACGGGTGCCAGTGTGTATGCAACAAGTGCCACACATGGACTTAGATCTGGCTTAGATAGGAGGAGGACAACAGCAGGGACAGTCACAGAGGAGTGTGTAGTTCTCCCCTCAGTGGAGATACGAATTTACATTTAAAGTGAATTTAGCTGGATTCAGTTCACTTTGCAAGTCCACCGAAGGAAAGCTTGCTATTCTCTTAGTTCAGCCAATCACTGTACTAGAAAGACACGAAGTTTGTTTCCTGGAAGGTAAACACATCAATGTGAATTGAGTGGGAAGAAAGCGGCCTGCTTCAATGAGGGGAGACATGTTTCTTCTGCAATGTGTACTAACCATTCAGAATTTTTAGTTTTAAACAGAAGTTCATACAATGAATGGACTTCAAAAGTTTTCAACTGAAATCACATCCCCTCCAACCCGTTCCCCCCCCCAAAAAAACCAGTCAAAATGTAGCAAGTAAAACTCCACACATCTCTGGCCATCACTGACACTGGGAAAGCCTTCATAAATAGGCACAGCACTCCTGCTGTGTCTGCAGACATTGACTTCAGTGACGCTTCAGTGCTGTAATGGCATCGGGGAAGCTGACATCCTCCAAGCCTCAGCATACAAATCACCAACCTGCTGCCTTGATGACGTTAGCAATGACTTCCATTGGGACTTGCTCGCTGCTGATAAACCTGATGGAGCGCCTCTTGTTGAGGAGTTCATAGAATTCCTGAGATCTCGTCTTCATCTCTTGCTCTGGGTACCGGGTGTGAGAGAACGGGATGTGCGCCACAGTCTCCTCCGACTCCTGCCATTCGTCAGCATCTACAAACAAGAGACAGAAGCACAGCAAATTCAGCTACCTCCCTGGTCATGAGGTCACTGGGGGGAAGGGAATAAAGTTCCAGGAAAGTCTATACGGTTATATGATGTCAAAATAATCAACTGATTTTTTTCAAAAAAGGAAAATAAAAACAAAATAGAGATCTATAGAGTTTTGACCACTGATCGTGACCAGCCTTCCAATTCTAGATCCGTTATACAAAGTTAATGGGATTTTTGTCTACAAAAAAAAATAAGAAATGAAATTTTCTGTTAAATGGTAGAATAGATTATTTGATACAATCTTCCATTTGGGTCACCAAATAAGGTGGTTTTTGTCTTTGTCAAAGATGACAACATAGTAAGAAATTCCAAAGCCAAAAATGAAGGGAAAATATGGACCTCAAGAGGTGAGCGCAGAGACCTGTCTTTCCTGCTTGTGTCTGCCAATTCCTACAAGTCCAGTTTCCATTTTCTGATCCTTGGCATGAAGGACAATCAAATCAAGGTTGAATCAGCTGAACCCTCAAGTTACATCCTTTGGGAAAGTGTGGATTGCAAACATGTCGTCTTCCACGGCCTACGACATTTTTGGTGTGACCTTTCTCTGGCTCAGTGTTTCCTCTTGAAAGCACACCAGTTGTCTAGCAGGAGGGAATGACAACGTGTAAAGAATTTTAGGAAAAATTCCCAGTAACTCACCAATTCAGTCCTGCACGAGGAAGAATGGAGTATCTTGAACAAAAATTAGTAAAATCGGTGTTTAGCAATAAAGACAGGTGCCCTGATACTCCAAGAATTCACAGGCTCAAAAGCACCAACAGCTTTGACATTATGCTTAGAGAACAAAACAAGACAGACTTCTGTAAGCCTCTAGAGTATTACTGAAGGAAGGATAAAAGGTGACATAGCAGAGATGAAAAATAGAAATCAATAGAATTATTTAGATTAAATTGCTTGAATAAAAGATAAGTGGATGGCAAGTCAGAAAAAAAAAAACTAGGGCAAAAGACAGAAAACAGAAGAGCAGAAAAAAAAACCAGAGCCAGTTTATTTAGGACCCTGAAGAAAAGCAAAAAACAAATGAGTTTTAGAGTTATAGTGACTTTGGTCGGGTGGGGACAAGACTGTGAAGGAAACAGAGTTTGGAGAGATTACTAAGAGGCAGGTCCATTTCTAAGGCCTTTATGGTTCAATCCTCAGGCCCATGCGGTGGGAGGAGAGGACCAACTCCTCAGTTTGTCTTCTGACTTAGACACACGTGACACAGCATGAACATGCAGGACAGGATGTATGCACGTGTACACTCACAGTCAGCAGCAAAGTTACAGTTATGAATTTTAATTTTGTGATTGGGGGGTCACCGTAAGATGAGGAACTGTATTAAAGGGTTGTAGCATTAGGAAGGTTCAGAAGCATTGAGTTAGAGGGAAATAAGTGTGATGGAGAGGCATCCTATGTACCTAGATGTCAATCATCACATATGCCTAGCTATCAGCCAGTTCTAAACAACCCTGAGCATTGCCAGGTGTCCACGCACACGTTCCACAACTGTGACACTTTCCAACCATGTCAAGTTGATTCGGAAGACCTTGTGGTGAGGAAGCCGTACAGGAGCAGCTGTTTGAATGACACCACCAGCCCTTAAGACCCAGTCATATTTACACAATCCATAGGTAGCCCAGGAGCATAGCTGGCTTCCAAGTCCAAGGTAGCTCTCCTGATGCAGCACTATGAAGCGAGGAGCTGCACAAGGCTTCCCAGGGCTAGCTGTTATCTCTGACGGAGGCAAAAAAAGAGACCCCGTCACACGCAGTGGGATTTTCCTGAGCGATTCTCCCAGGCTGTGCTCTGTGGGGCCACACATCCTGCAGCCTCCTCTGGGGCAGTAGGTACCTAATCTATCTGGGGAATAAGGACTGAGAGAGTATAGCCTAGGAGCTTAGCAAACTGCTGTAGAGCTCACAGTGGAGAGCTAGCAGGGACCTCTAAAAACAAGCAGGGCCACTTCTCTCTGCTCTTGAACTTCTGACTGCTCCCAGGAATGCGACCTTGGAAGGGAAGAAAAAAATCTCCGAGATTCTGTTTTCATGCCTCCTTTGTCCGAGACTTCTCTATGTGAGAGGCTACCCACAGAGAACATCTGTTTCCGGATCCTGGAAACAGACTGCCAGAGTCCTACCTGCCTACGTAGATGATACCCTACTAGAGCCTCAGTTCCCTGTGATGGGGATAATGGTGATTGATGTGGACTTCACTGTATTACCGTGAAGATGATGTGGTCCACTCCACATATGACATGGCACCAGCTGGCTCCATCATGCTATGTGAGAGTGTGCTGTGGTTTCTGAGTCTTGGCCCGTGGCACATCTCTCTATCTCTCTACCATATTCCTCTTATCTTTGAGTGTCTCCCAAGTTCTCCTTCAACCTTAGTGAAGTCATTAGTTCTCCATCCTCTGGGCGCCATCTCAAATTGGTGCCATCTGGCCAGAATCTCTCGCCTAACATCACGGATATCTTGCATCTAGCATACCTTCACATTGTCTCCTAAACTGGATCCTCCTCCCTCATCTGTCTATGGCAGAATCGCCGAGTCACTCCCTCTATCTTCTGCAATGTCTAAAACCTGATGCTCTCCGTTGTAACTCAGGCATCTTCAGCCCTCCATGACTCACCAAAACTTAGAACAGGTGTCTGTGTTATAGGAAGTGCTTCCCAAGTGGGACCAGACGGTCCTTATCTACATGGTCTTAGAAGTTTTGAGCTTTACAGTGTCACAAACACCTCATGGGACTCAGTGTTTGATTGTAAGGGAGATGCTGTATCAGATGGTTTGCCTCACTCCAAGCTTTTGCATGTGCTTACTGGCTAGCTAAGCCATGGCAGTTGGCAGGCTAGGTACAGCAAGTGCATTTTCAGTTCACAATATTCTTGCCACAGGCTTCTCAGGACATAACATGCATATTGATGCATGTCTGTGAAACTGACATTCTGAGTAGGGTTCCTTCAGCATATGACAATAAGAGGTAGACACACACACACACACACACACACACACACACCAGGTAGCCTCTGGGGAGTGAAGACTCACTAAAAATTAAACAGCTTCTTCTTCCAAATAGATTATCTCTTTCTCACACCCAGCTCAGGCAAAGTGTCTCAAATGTGCTGCAGAATAACCCTTCTGTACACTGAGGGTGTGCTACTCTCGTTGTTGATAGAGAGCTGATTGGCCAATAGCTAGGCAGAAGGAGATGAGGTGGGCGAGCCGAACTGAGAGGATGCTGTGGAGAAGAAGGGCGGAGTCGGGAGGAGTCTCTAGGAGACAAGGACAGAAGCAAGGTGAATATGACATGCTGAAAAAGGTTCCGCCATGTGGCAGAACGTAAATATGGCATAGTTTAAGTTGTAAGGGCTAGTTAGCAACAAGCCTAAGCCATTGGCTGGGCATTTATAATTAACGTTAAATCTTTGGGTGGTTATTTTGGGAGGGAGCCGGTGGGACAAAACTGATTGGCAAGACAGAAAACTACACAAATGTAGACTGTTCAAGATTCTACGAGAGCCTCCCTCCCCGATTCACTCTTTGATCTCGTCTCTCTAGTGCCAGCCATAGCCATTTCTCTCCCCCCCACCTCCTCATCCGTACATCTCCCCTCTTCTAGGAATCTCTCCGAAGCATAGAGCACAGGTGCAGGCTGTCTGCCTCTCTTCTGACATACTTCCCCCCCTTCCTGCTGGTCACACCTACTCACCCTCCAGGTCAGCTTTGTCCTTTCCCAAAGTCCCAACAGGCCCCCAAGCCTTCCCTAAACACCACTTACTAGTTCCACAGTGTTTGTCACTTCCCTTGTTTTATCTCCTTCCCTAATGGACCTTTATTTTATGAACAGCGAGGCCACTCTTGTCTCTAACTCACAGGGCACAATAAAATGCAGCTAATCCCTAGACATGCTACTTTCCCAGTTCCAACATTCCTAATCAAAACCTGGCCATGCCCACTACCACTGTACACAGTAACCACCACCACCCAGAGAGAGACTGTATTTGCCAGAGGAGGACCTGAGCTGGGAGAGACCTAAGCCTCCATGGCTTTGGGTACCAGCAAGTGGCCTGGGAGTAGATCCATGTTTGTCACACATCGTTCTGCTTCACGGGAGTGAAGGTTTGACTGCATTGCTTCCTTTCTGTTGCCCTGATATCAGTTTACACATCACAAGCGTGTCTAGGGTGAAACTCAGGTACTACAATGGGTTGTTACCTTCTTCCTCTTGGAGGAGGTCAGTGCTGTTATCTTTCAAGTCTTCATCCACCCACGGGCGAACCTGAGGCTCCTCCTTCTTTATCTCCAGGCTTCTGTCAGCATTTTTAAAGACCCATGCAACCAAGATGCAGACAACCGCTACCAACACTGGAGTGAGGAGAAACATGGTCTGCGGTCTGACCCGGAAGGTCAGCACACTCCCACACTGGCATTTATACAAACAGAGATGGCAACAGGGAATGCTGGGAGTGGAAGAGGGAGGTGTGCCAAGAAAGAAGCAAAGTACACACTCTCAAGCTCCACGGCGACTTTGCAAAGGATCAAAGGTCACGGTCTCCTGCACTGGGATTTGGTCCTGCTCCAATGCATGCACTTTTTAAAATTGTGCACTTGCTCAATATAGTCTCAGACGTTAATCACCATGGGGTACGTTAAGTGCTGCAATGTGCTAGATCTTTCTGGCAGTGGTTAAAAAGCCATTTGACCTTTCTCCCATTTCACATTTCTCTGAGAGTGTCTTCAATCTGCCTGAAGCTAGGAAGTGCCCAGAGAGCTCACTTTCAAAAGAAGAGATTTATAAATATAGATTCTGATGTTCTGAAAGAAAATGTCCACAAATAAGCAGCCAGAGTGCATTTTCAACTTCATATGTACTGGCCTGAGATTGCATTGTTTTTTAAACATCCATGCCAATACATGCAACAGAGAAGAAAGTCTTGTGTTTTATGTTAGAGAAGAAAATTAATCTGGAAAAATGATGCAAAAAGTTTAAAATGACAATATCTAAACTTGAAGGTATTTTTCGTTTGTTTTCTTGCTTTAGTTCGGTCTTAGTTTTTATCTTTGCCTGTATCTTTACTGTTCAGGCTGCCATAACAAAAATGTCATTAACTGAATAAGTTAAATAATGTAATGTGTGCCTCACAGTTCTAGAGATTGGGAAGTCCAAGCCCCAGGCACCAGCGTATTTTGTTCTTCCTGGCTTGTATATGGCTGAATTCTCCCATTGTCCTTACAACTGGGCATTGGGAGAGAACTATTACTCACTGAAATCTTACCATGTGATCCCTACATACTCCACATACTAAATCACAGATGCTTCACAAAAGAACTCATGCCATAGATCCCACTGTTACCCCCATTTTCACTCAAATAGATGAGGCACAAGTAGGTCAGATAACATGTCAATGGCCAGTTGAAGATAAATAGGCCATAAATAGTCCCTGTCTGTTTGTGAACTTCTGCAGAGGGGACAAGGACTCTTATTAGTTCAGAGCCTGCAGTGTTGAACCTGCCTGGGTCAAAGTGGGAGGTTAGAGACCAGAGAGATGTGCTACATTTGTTTCTTTTGCCTTTGTTAATGATGTAAAGATGTGTTACATTTGTTTAATTATGTGAAGATGTGTTGCTGCTTCACCTTGCCTGCCTAAGGCACCTGATTGGTCTAATAAAGATCTGAATGGTCAATAGCTCACGACAGAAGAGAGGTAGGTGGGGCTGGTGGGCAGAGCGATTATGGGAGGAAAGAGAAGAAAGAAGAATGGAAAGAATGAGGGAGAAAGAGGGACAAGCCCAGGGCCAGAAGTTAGGCAGTTACCAGCTAGCCAGGCACAGAGTAGAAAATCCGGAAAGAAGAGTTAAAGACACCAAGGTAAAACATAGCTGAAGAGAAACAAGTTAACTTAAGTTATAAGAGCTATTGAGACAAGCATAAGATAAGCCTGAGCATTCATAACTAATATTAAGTCTCTGTGTCATGATTGGGGAGTTGTTTGGTGGCCCAAAAGAAAGCTTGCTACAGACACGGGTTTTCCATGCTAGTACAGGAAGCATTGTTCTCTGACTATCCAGACTCATGCTCAGCTCTGGGAGTTGCAGAAAAGAGGTTTATAACATGCACATCCACAGGCCAAGAAGCTAGGCAGCTGTGTTGGCAGGCAGGTGGCAGAGCAGAATGGAGATCAGCCAAGGCAGAAAATTCTCTCTAGAGGGAAGCGGCTGGGACTCCAGAGTTTGAAACCCACACACCTTCCTGTCCCAGAGCGCCTGCAGGTCTCAGGGGCTGGAGGTATGGCCCTGCCCCCACTGTCCATCCCTTGCCCTGTGAATTCCTCCACTCCTCACCTGAGCTGGGCCGGTGAGCTTCACAGTCCTTCTCGATGGTCAGGCTTCCAGGCTATGGTGGTGTCCTTATAGGACAAAGCTTCAGGCCACCACTCTAACGCACACTTAGGTTAGAAAAATGGGGCTTCTCTTGGGGAACAGGGCCTGTGGAACTGGGTCAAAGAACACCATATGGCTGATCTGGAGGTGGCCCAGGTGGGCCCTCTTTGCCCTCAATACCTCTAAAGAGTGGGTCTCAACCTTCCGAATGCTAGTCTTTAAAACAGTTCTTCAGGTTGTGGTGACCCCTATAACCATAAAATTATTCTTGTTGCTACCTCATAACTTTAATTTTGCTACTGTTATGAATTGCAATGGAATTCTCTGTGTTTTTTGATGGTCTTAGGTGAACCCCCTGTGAAAAGATCATTCTATCCCCAAAGAGGTCATGAGCCACAGGTTGAGAACCATGACATCCTGGGCTACTTAGTTTTTGCCCTTTGTCCTTATCCAGTGAAGACAAAGAATGTTGAAGGAAGGTACAGGAGATGGCACTAGGGATTCTCACACCATCCTCTACCACTCTTTATCACCACAGACAGAGCATCAGTTCAAGTCATCATTTGCAGACCACGCCAGGAACAGTATTATTCTAGAAGACACGCCCCCCCAAAAAACAAATGCAGTGCTGATGTTAAATGGATGACATCTGCCTGTGTTCCTGCTTCCTAAAGTCCCCAGTGTGTGTTCGCAGAGGGCAACAGGGAACTCTACAGGGAAGGGGCTGCCCTGGGGCATCGAGAGCTAACAGAGTTCACAAAAGCAGAGTGTTGTCTTGGTTGCAATCCAGTGCTCAGCAGCTACTGTGATGGCAACCGTTCAAGGAAAAGTCGGAAACTGGGGTGAGCTGAACTCCACAGTCTTATCTCAGATCAAATACGAAGTCAGAGAGGCACAAGGAAGTACAGGAACGTTTACCTGAGTTAGCTGGCCTCATCTATACATAGTCACCTTCACTAACTCTATCCCATCCAAGGACGTGTCTCCACGGGCTCATCGGGCTGCCTCGTACCTACACCCATTGTGTCTAGGTGCCAGTGATGCTTAAGTTAGGCCTTCCTCTGTCTGCATTATCCATTGAATCCATAGGATAGGACACTTTAGATGAAACTCCACTCTCCGAAAGAAAAGAAAACAGGAAAAGAAGAGCTTCGTTGGTGGTCTGCGCTGAAGGCAGGTTAGACCAAGGGTCCCAAAGTGAGAACTGAGGCCAATAACAAACAGCCTGAGGGGATGGTTGTTAGATATGCTAAGTCCAGGCCTTATCCTAGGCCTGGCACAGACACCCCTGGAAGGGATCAGCAGTTTGGTTTCCATATCTCAACCTTTCTACCTTACAGACAATAAAATACCAATAAGCATCGATTCAGAGGCTTAAGAGTGAAAATTGGTTTTCTTAAATTAATGTTAAGATGGTAAATCAGCAAAGGCTGTGGTTGAGAAAGCAAACTGGTGCCTTCTGTAGCTTTCCCATTAACACTTGCGGTTTGGATAGCAGACAACAGGAATCTCACCTGGGTGGGATCTCACCACCAAGGGACAGTGGGGACCACACAGTGCAAATCAGAGGTTACACCTTCCCTCTCCAAGCAAACCACACATTCAGATCTACACTCAGTCTGCCTCCTTATGTTCCCCTTAAGGGGAAAAGTGTGAAATTTCACGGCCTTGATGTTATTTTTTAGCCTGCTGGGTTTTGCCAGTTCTGGGAGGCCCCGCCCCCTCACCCCAGGGCAGACTCTCAGGAAAGGAGAGCAGGGATGGGTCTCAGAGAGCCTGGGACTACTGAAGCAAGTATCCATCCATCATGACTGTCTTTGCGCCCAAGGGCATGGTTCTGAGCCTGCAGGAATCCCTAGGGGCTTCCCTCACCTGAGCAGTACTCAAATAGCATTTCTTGGGGCACACGCTGGTCCTGCAAGAGAAACCATGCTAATTCTCCAATCTCAGCATGACATCATCTTTTGAAACTGAGGCTTTTCCAGGAAAGTGCTCAGCCACAGGCAAAAAGACAAGATAAAGGAGACAGCGGCTTTGCTTGGTGAGTTAACAATAATTACTGATAGCGTTGGGTAACTGATGCTGTCCTGAGATACTCCCTTGGCTTCATGATGGAAAGCTTTTGTACAACATTCCCATACTCCCTCCACTCCTACCATAACTCCTAAGTCCATTCTCCCATTCACCCATGCTCACTGCATATCAAAGGAAGGCTCATGTATGGCTCCCAGGGCCTGACAGCATCCATGTGTTCTCTGTGTGCTCAAGTGGTAAGCCCATCAGAGCAGAACAGGTGAAGGGTGGAGGCTGGCATCAGTGGTAACGCTAGCAGAATGACTTTGTTGTAAGAAAGACACAGGAGTCTGATTCTGCCACAGGTCTATCCACTCTCTACAGCTGACTTTTGCCAGTAATAAAACCAATATCTTGGTTTGAACTGTGTAACCCTTGGTTCTGTGTCAGAACTCCAAGGAGCAGAGAAAGGGGCACGGAGCACCCTGAGGTAGACATTTTTACTGTGCTTATTTTGCAGAAGAAATTGAACTTTGAAAGATGAGCAGCACCCTTGTCCGTCTTCATCACAGACCACTGTGCTTACACTGGAAACCAATGATGTAAGCTGCAGCATCCTGAAGTTCCCAGGGTACCATCTTTTATCCCATAGTCTGATGTTTACTTGGAGGGATGTCTTAGGAAGAGAGGTGTGTGTGATGGGCGAACAAATGTCCACTTTGCAAAATAATCAAATGGGCTTCCAAATATTAATTGCTCTTCAGTCCTATTACTGTTTTATTTAACCTTAAGAAAAACCCATATCCACATTTGTTAAAGATCGGAGAGAAGACCTCATTCAGAACCCTGCTTCAACCAACGTAGGTGAAAAAATTGACCTCCACATCAAATTGAACAAAGACAAGTGGGAATTAGTAACCAAGGGAGATGGCTGGGAGTCAGCAGATGGACAGTTACTATGGAGACAGCAAGGCTAGGGGGATTTATTATTTTATTAAGACTCACTTAATTCTGTGTTGGTGTTTTACC